ATTTATTGACATTTATATTTGCCCTCCCGGACTTGAGATAATTGAAAACTAATGGATTATGAATCCGGAGACTTTTAATATAAAAAGGAACTTTCACCTATTTGTGACTTACTTGAAATTACTGTCATTCTTAATAAATCCTTGATTATTCGCATTAATAATATATCATTATTGGACCACTAGTAAGTGTCGAAGTCGACCATCTCGTCTCTACTTCTTTGAGATTAGACGGGATACTCATTGTGTACACATTGTTTTCGTACTCATACTACACTTGCTGTGCATTTTTGCTGCACAGGTTCATATGTGGTTAGTGGCATAGCGGCATGGTTGATACAGAGACTTAGGCAAGTTGCATTTCTCGAGATGCCCATAGCTAGCGGAGTCTCCTTCGGAGTATTGTACCGTACCTTCATTTCTGTCCATTTGTATTTCAGACAGTTGTTGTATTACTTTATTTCTTAGAAATTGCTCATGCACTTGTGATACCGGGTTTGGGATGTGTATGGGTTTATTCAGAAATTTTAAAAGTTTTTGGGAGTTTCATTATTTATTCAGAGGAATTTCCTATGTATTGTTTAAACTGATAAAATAAGTGATTTTGGAAATAATTAAAATAAGAAATTGCTAGTAAATTGTGGATTGGCTTGCCTGACAGTGGTGTCTGGCGCCATCATGACCCTTAGTAGATTTTGGGTCGTGATATGTAGGACTACCTCCGGTCTCCGCTGGACTGAAGGCAACAACCACTCTAAGGTCCAAAAACTCTGGTACTGAGATCTGCACACAGTGCAGAGTGTAGTATCAACACAACCGACCCCATGTGCTGGTAAGTGTCGAGCCTAACCTCGGCGAAGTAGTGACGAGGCTAGGACAAGACTACCAAATAAACCTGTGCAGTTAAAGCATATACACCAAGTAATAATAACGGAAACTAGCAGTTAAAGATGTGAAGAGGAACATACTGCGGGGAATATCAAGTACCAACAGTAACTCAGGAGAAAAGCATAAAGAACATGTTAAAGTTCACATCAGTAAGAATAAGGAAACATTAATGAATCAATACCCACTTTTATTCATTATTGTTGAGGCGCGCAACCCGATCCAAACCATATAAAACTGTTGCGGCATGCAACTTGATCCAAATCATATATCACTGTTGCGGCGTGCAACCCGACCCCTCATGTTCTCCCTTATTACTCCATGTTGCGGCGTGCAACCTGATCCCATATAATATTGTTACGGCGTGCAACTCGATCCCAATATACAAATCAACACCAATCACAAAAGAATCCCGGTGAGGGAACAATAAGAAAACAATAATATCCTGGCAAGGGAATCAACAATAAGAATAAATACATCTCGGCAAGGGAACCAACAGTAAGAATTAAATACGTCCCGGCAAGGGAATCAGCTATAACCAAAATTGTACTAACATTTAACTTCACAAATGAAACATCAACTGGAACCAATACGAAATAATGAGCAAATACCACGAGAACAATGATAATTCTTGCCCAACACAGAGAATCAAAACTTAGGCATTTGTAGTACTTATTAAGAAACACAACGATTACAATTTAGACTCACGGGCATGCTTGACAACGACGTATAGATACTTGTCACCACACCTATATGTCATACACTACACTGGCACATAGAAAATAAATCACAATACTTATTCCCTCAAGCTAAGGTTAGACCAAACACTTACCTCGAACTTCTACGACCAACTCAAGCCTCAAACACCGCTTTTCCTTTAGAATTCATCTCCAAGTTACTTGTATCTTGCCCAAATTAATTTAACAACATCAATAAATGCTAAAGAATTCATACCCAATGCTTAATTATAGGTTTTCTATCATTTTTCCTAAAAAGTCAAAAATCCACCCCGGACCCGCTTGGTCAAAACTTGAGGTTCAGATCAAAACCCGATCACCCATTCACCCACGAGCCCAAATATGCAATTAGTTTTGAAATCCGACCCCAAAACAATGTCTAAATTCTAATTATTCAAAAAGCCCTAACTGTACCCAAATTCCTAATTCCTACCATGAATACTCTTGATTTTTGATTAAAAAGTGATGAAAAACATTGGGTAATTGAAAGAGTAAAGTTTAGAATTGATTACCAACACTTTGGGGATGAATTTGTGTGAAAGAAATCGCCTCTAGGTCTTCGGATTTCGAAAATATGGAGTAAATGAGTTCTGCATGTTTTTGCTACTGTTTTTATAAGACTGGGCAGACCTTCATCGAGTTCGCGATGGATCTGCCGTGTTTGCGAAGAGCTTCCCGTTGAGGACTTACGCGATCGCGAGTTCTCCTACGCATTCGCGAAGGGTAAGCCTCACTGACCTTCACGTTCGTGGACCAGCATATGCGTTCTCGTAGAAGAAATGACGACTACCCAGCCCACCTCCAATTTACTATATGCGTTCGCGGGAAAAGGGTCGCGTTCGCGTAGAGCAGCCCCCCTAGTGGTCCGCGTTCGTGTCCCTCTCTTCGCATTTGCATAGAACAAATTCTACCCCCAACCCAGTTCCCTTTCGCGATCGCGAGTGTTGTTACGCGATCATGATGCACAAAATGTTAGTGCACCTGAAGCAGCAAAACCTGCATCTTTTCTAAGTGAAAAACCTATGTGAAACTCATCCGAGCCCTCGGGACTCCAAACAAAACATGCATACTAACTCAAAGACATCATATAAACTTACTCGTGCGAGCAAATCGCCAAATTAACATCTCGAACTACGAGTTTAGCATCAAAATCAAAGAAAAATCTCCTTAACCCTTAAGTTCAAATTTTAACAACCGAGGGTCTTATTCACATCATATCAAGTCTGTTTCTTACCATATTTTACAAGCTCAACCTAAATGCCATATAAGACCTGTACCGGGCTCTGGAACCAAAATACTGGCCCGATACCATCAAATTCAAACACATATAAATTTCCAAAACTCTTATGATTTTAGTTAAACAACTTTCTTCAAAAATTCATTTCTCGGGCTTGGGACCTCGGAATTCAAATTTCGGGCATACGCACACGTCCCATATTTTTCTACGGACCCTCCGGGACCGTCAAATCATGGATCCAGGTCCATTTTCCTAAAATATTGACCAAAGTCAACTTAAATTCAATTTTAAAGGCCAAATTAGCATTTTCATAAAATTTTCACATAAAAGCATTCTGGAGATATGCCTGGACCATGCATACAAATCAAGGTGGGATAAAGGGAGGATTTAAGGCCTCGGAACACAGAATTTACTTGTAAATCAAGTGATGACCTTTTGGGTTATCACAATTGATATTTTAATTTGCTTTCTTATCACAGTGAAAATATGGAATTTCTTGATTATCAGTAGCACGAGTACTTCTAAAAATAACCTTTGACCGAAGTACACAATTTTTGGTTAAACAAATTGGTTCCGCTGCCAGAATTCTGAAAATATTTTCATTTTTCAAATTCATTTTTTCTATCAAAAATCATGTCAACCGCTAACGACAACAACCAACAAAACCAGCAAGACCAGCTGAACCAACAGAATCAACAAGAGGATGGAACTGCAATCCCTTCAACCCGAAATTCTCCTCAACACTCCCGAGAAGAGTTACTTGACAGATCAACATCACATGTGTAACCAACAAGGGGAAGATCAAATTGCTGATGATGTATTGAAGCAACTAATTGCAGAACACATGAACAATGCTCTTCAAGCTTTCGTTAGGGGATTACCAATTGTACCACTAACTCCACCTCCAAACAACACCTCAACCATAGAGAACCCACGCTTAGGACTCGCCAATTAGGGAAGTGGAGGAACTCCCAACGAATCTCGCGATGGAAGGTCAGGTTTTTCAATTAATTCTGATTTGCAAAATTTAGTACTAACTTTGCAGAAACAACTCAAGGAGCAGAACGATCGCATAGAGCAAATACCTAGTGTCCCACCTGTGATTAAAAGAGTGGATATTGATAAATATTCTCAACAACCCTGGAAGCCAAGTGCCACTCCCTTGCCAATTTCAAAAAAGTTTAAGATGTCTGATATCCAAAAGTATGATGGGACAACCGACCCATGAAATCATGTCACTGCATTTACAACTGGAGTGAAAGGGAACGACTTGACCAAGCAAGAGATTGAGTAAGTGCTGGTCAAAAAATTTGGTGAAACACTCACAAAAGGAGCACTAACATGGTATTCTCTTTTACCATAAAATTCTATTGATTCTTTTGCTGAGTTTTACAAAAGCACACTCGGGAGCTCAAAAAGTTGAAAAGAGGATGGAAGACATCTTTAAAATAAAACAAGGAGATACGAAGCTACTCAAAGAATTTGTGGATAGATTCCACCGTAAAAGGATGATGTTACTGCGTGTACCTGATAATTGGGCAACTATGGCATTTGCAAGTAATATAAATGAAAAACGCTCAGAATCCACTAGGAGACTCAAAGAAAGTTTACGAGAATTCCCTGAAACAACTTGGAATGATGTTTACAACAGATATAGTACGAAGCTACGGATAGAAGAAAATACAATCACTTAGTCACCGGGAGATAAAAGAACAAGTTCGAGGCGACCAGAAACTGAAAAAAAGTCTGGTAAGAACAGGTAAGAACCTTACATGGGACCAGAAGAAAGGGATTCACGATCAAAACAAGAGAACCCGAGGCACGGTTCTAAGTCAAAGGATAGAGATGTGGGTTCGTCATCCAAGTTTAGAAAGGAGCGAGATACGCGGGACAACGACATTACTTCAAAAGCGAAGATTGGTGATTACAGTTTCAATGTTAGCACATCTGAGTTGGTAGTTGAGTGGTGGCTAGAAGAAATGAGATCGAACCCTAGCAGAAGAAACCCAGATTTCTAGTGTGAGTTTCGTAATGATCACGGTCACAAAACAATAGAGTACAGATTGTTACAAGGTGAAGTAGAACACTTGTTAAAACAAGGTTATTTAACTGATTTGTTTAGTGAGAAGGGTACGCAAGCATAAATGAAGAATAGACAGGAACCACCAAAACTTCCGTCACTGAAAAGAACAGTTAGTGTGATAAGCGGAGGAGATGAGGTAAATGGTGTGGCATATACAACTACAAAAAAGGTGTCAAAAGTCACAGTTACCCACGAAAAGCAAGTTCGCCAAGTTTTGGAAGAAGACAGTATAACATTTGATGATGCAGATGTAGATGGTATGCTGATCCCACACAATGATGCACTAGTAATATATTTACTTGTACATGATACTAATGTGAAATGATATTTGATTGATTGAGGTAGCTCTGTAAATATTATTCTTTTAAAAGTGGTAAACGAGATGCAAGTTGATGACAAATTGGTACCCAAAGCACGTACCTTATCTGGATTTGACAATTCAAGCATTGTTACAAAAGGGAAGATAATGCTTACCACATTCGCAGAAGGAGTAGTCAAGGATACGAAATTTCAAGTAATAAATATGGACATGGCATACAATATGATCCTCGACAGACCTTGGATTCACAAGATGGATGTTGTTCCGTCTACTTTGCATCAGGTTATTAAGTTCCCTTCGCAATGGGAAATTAGACAAATTCGTGGTGATCAACAAGCTTCTAAAAGTATCAATTCAATGGCAGATTCAAGCATAAAAAACGATATTGCAGATCAAAAATAGCAATTACAGAATTCAGTTGAGGGTTTAACAACTCAAACCTCAACTGGAAATGGACAAACAGATGTAGACTCAAGGCCTGATACTATTCAAGAGCCAGAAAAGAACAAAAACATCAAAACAATAATTGAGGAACTCGAAGCTGTTGTGCTGTTTATACATTGGTCGAACAGAAAAGTTTATATCGGAACCAACCTGAGCCTAGAGATGAAAGGTAAGTTAATTGAATTATTAAAAGCTAACGCAGATTGCTTTGCTTGGTCGCATTCAGATATGATAGGTATACCACCAGAGGTGATGACCCATAAGCTGAATGAAGATCCAACATACCCATCTGTCAAACAGAAGAAAAGGAAGCAAGGATCCTTCAAAAACCAAGTGATTCAGGATGAGGTACAAAAACTTTTAAAAATCGGGTCTATCCGAGAGGTAAAATATCCTAACTGGTTAGCTAATCCTATAGTAGTACCAAAAAAGAATTGTAAGTGGCAAGTTTGTGTAGACTATACTGACTTGAATAAAGCTTGCCCTAAAGATTCTTTTCCTTTACCACATATAGATCAACTAATTGATGCTACTTCAGGACATGAATTGTTAAGATTTTTAGATGCCTACTCAAGATATAATCAAGTAAAAATGGATCCTTTAGATGAGGAGAAAACTTCCTTTATTACAGACAGTAGGACTTACTATTATAAAGTTATGTCTTTCGGCCTAAAGAATGCTGGAGCCACGTACGAGAAGTTAGTAACGAATATGTTTCAAGAACATCTGGGAAAAACCATGGAAGTCTATATTGATGACATGCTAGTCAAGTCAGCACAGGCTGGGGATCACATCCAACATTTGTTAGATACATTTCAGATTTTCGCAAATTCAATATGAAGTTAAATCCCGAAAAGTGTGCATTTCGAGTATCGTCAGGTAAGTTTTTAGGTTTCCTTGTTCTATCCAAGGAATTGAAGTAAATCAAGCACGAATTAAAGCCATTAAAGAAATACCGGATATACTCACAAGCGAAAAAAAGGTGGAGAGGCTGACAGGTAGGATAGCAACATTGGGAAGGTTTATTTCTAAATCTTCGAAGAAAAGTTTTAAGTTCTTTTTAGTGTTGAAAAAGCAAAGCCAATTTGAGTGGACTGAGGAATGCCAACAAGCACTCAAAAATCTAAAAACATACTTGTCAAACCCACCGTTGTTGGCTAAACCGAAGGATGGAGAAAGGTTACTCATCTACCTCACTGTGTCAAAAATGGAGGTAAGTGCAGCGTTAGTTCGAGAAGACAAAGATAAACAGTCTCCAATTTATTATGTTAGCAAGTCCTTATTGGATGTTGAAACTCAATATCTTCATTTAGAAAAACTTGCTTTAGCACTAGTAATAACATCTAGAAAATTAAGGCCTTATTTTCAATGTCACCCTATCTCTGTAGTGACCGCTTACCCCTTATAAAATATATTGCATAAGCAAGAATTATCAGGTATATTAGCTAAGTGGGCCATAGAATTAAGTGAATATGATATCACATATCAACCTAGAACTGCGATAAAGTCACGGGTTTTAGCAGATTTTGTGGCAGACTTCAGTCCGGGAATACTAACAGAAGTAGAAAAGGAACTACAGGTATTCAACGGGTCTCCAGGTACTTGGACCCTATTTACTGATGGCTCTTCAAATGTTAAAGGAGCAGGTTTAAGCATTGTTCTAATCCCACCTTCGGGAGAAACTATAAGGCAAGCCATAAAGTGCCATCACATTACTAACAATGAAGCAAAATATCAAGTTGTAATTGTATGTCTAGAATTGGCACGAGAGCTTGGAATAGAGCAGGTTGTAATCAAGAGTGACTCGCAGCTTATAGTTAATCAAATGCATGGGACTTATATAGCTACAGAGGCAAGGATCCAATAATATTTGGAAAAGATACGAGATTTAATCAGACAATTCCAGTCATGGAAAATCGTGCAGATTCCCAAGGAAGAAAATATTGAAGCAGACACGCTAGCTAATCTTGCATCCACTGTAGAAGTGACGAATGAAGAAAATGCTTTTGTAATACAGTAGTTTCATTCGACACTCAATCAAGATAAAAGCGAGGTAAATTTCAATAATTTAACTTGGGATTGGAGAAACGAGATCGATAATTTTTTGCAGTATGAGATTCTACCTAAAGATAAGAAAAATGCTCAGACACTTTGATAAAAAGTTGCCTGTTATTGTTTGGATTGAGGCAACTTATATTGAAAGATGTTCGGTGGACCTTTAGAAAGGTGTCTCGGACCTTCTCAAAAAGAGTATGTGCTGAGAGAAGTACATGAGGGACACTGTGGAAATCATGCAGGAGGAAAATCCTTGGTAAAAACTCTAATTAGAGTAGGATATTATTGGCCAAAAATGGAAGAAAATGCAAAAAGCTTTGTGGCTAAATGCTAAATATATGGTAACAATATGCATCGCCCAGCAGAGTTATTACATCCGGTTATTATACCATGGCCATTTATGAAGTGGGATGGATATTGTGGGTCTGCTACCCCAAGCCAAAGGAAAGGTACGAATTTTTACTAGTACTAACCGATTCTTTTACCAAGTGGGTAGAAATATGTGCCTTCAAACAGGTGCGGAAAAAAGAAATCAGGGACTCTATTTGGCGAAACATCATATGCCGATTTGGAGTTCCAAAAGAAATCATGTGTGATAATGGCCTGCAATTCATAGGCGCAAAAATCACAAAATTCTTTCAGAGTTGGTAGATTAAGAGGATAACTTCGACACCTTATCATCCTGTGGCTAATGGATAAGTTGAATCAACAAACAAGGTTATTATTAATAACTTGAAGAAAAGATTAGAGGCGTTAAAAGGTAAGTGGCCATAAGTGTTACTAGGAGACTTATGGGCTTACCGAACAATAGCAAAAAAAGGTACGGGAGAGATACCATTCTCTCTTGTGTATGGTGCCGAAGCCTTAATTCTAGATTATATAGGAGAACCAAGTATGAGGTATATCCAAGAAACCGAAGAATAAAATGAGCAATAGATGCGGGTAAATATCGATTTGCTTGAAGAAATGAGAGAGACAACTCTAATAAGGATGGTAGCACAAAAGCAAATTATTGAGTGATATTACAATCGGAAAGCTCATTTTAGGTACTTCAAGATTGGGGACTTCGTACTCAAAAAAGTTTTTCAATCATCAAAAGCGGCCAATGCAGGAAAATTGAGCAAATTAGGAAGGACCTTATAAGATTCGAGGTATTGCTGGAAAGGGTGCATATGAATTGGAAACAATGGACGGCAAAGTACTCCAATCAAATTGGAATGTTGTTCATTTGAAGAAGTATTACTTCTGAAAGGGAAAACCCCAGGTCAGGTATCGTTTATGCAAAGTTAAGATTTATTCCTTTTTAATTATACTAACTATTTTAAATGATAGGCAAAAAGCTAGCCCATACCAAATGATGATTTTAGACCTAAAAGACACGCAAGATGCAAAATCATCCTCGGTTTGGGTTACAGCTTTTCTTATGGAAATAAAAGGGCTAAGTAGTCATCATCTAAAAATATATATATACCGCCGAGTCCTGTATGTTTTCCCTTTTTAGGAAATGGGCCACATGGAAGGAATAATCAAGTGCTCGAGATTTCATATTTCAAAGCTCTAACACTTGGGGACTATATATATGGAAGGCAAAGAAGACTATAAAAGTCAGAATTCGAGTCAAGCATGAGGCAATCTACCCAACAAATCGAAAGTTAAGAGAAAATCAAGAGCCAAAAACACAAGCCTGATTCAAAAACCTATGATAAAGTATACATTTGCAAATGTAAATTACAAATTCTTACCAATATTTAGGTTAAAGGCAATATTTAGTCGTGGGTTGCAAGATATACCCTTGAATTTTGCAATATCTGTTATAAAGAAAACAATTATGAAAGAGTTGTAGATATAACTTGAGTACATGTAAAGTATACAGTTTGAAAGTTCAAGAATACAAGACTTCCTCAAATTATTCAAAGAAATATGTATGTTCCTACTTCTTCTTTCGTATGTTTACACCAATATGAAGTTGAGACGTCTTCTTCATTAAGTGTCGTTTATAAAAGGACCATCTTTTATAATTAGTGCTTATTCAAAGTCACGAAGCAGTGAAGCATTTTTAATGCAAAGTTAAATAACAAAGGGTAAAACAAAAACCCAAACATTAAAATAGGCTGAAAATAAAGCCGAAATTTATAAACATAAAGCAAACAGTTGTCTTCAAACCCCGAAATAACACAAGGGTAAACCAATAAGAGAGTAGAACAGAAACTCAAAATAAGATATTATAAGAGTTAGACAAAACTCGGAAAGTGATTATATAAACTTGGGTAAAACTAAGTATAATCTTAGTTCCAACCTAAACTATTCTACACAAAACCCCAAAACAGATCAGGGGTAAAACTTTCCAATCATTTCTAAACCCCAAAATGAACCAAGGGTAAACTTCCTAAACATTCCACCAACAAAAAAAACAAAACATCAAACTTTTCAATCAAACTTTCACTATGGAGCAGGTTCTGAACCAGTATTCAAGATGACATCACTAGCAGCAGGAGGTTCAACTTCAGCAGAAGGGGTTTGCATAACAGCTTCACCAGGAGTAAGTTCATCGGCCACGGGAATGTCAACCTCAGGTGAAGAAAAGTTTTGACTCTGCTAAGTTTTCTTAATGGTTTCTTTAGTTTTTGCAATTTCAGCTGCTAAGTCAAAGCCTTCCTGGCTTGCCTCCATTAATGTTTGAGCCGTGTATTCAAAAAAGCCCAACTAACATCAATAGTAGCTTTGTCCTCAAGGGATTCATAATCCCTCTCCCACTGCTCAATTTTGGCAATTAGCTCTTCCTTTTCAGTCAAAGCACCATCATAAGAAGCTTGTAAGGGAGCGAGTGACCTCTCTAAGAACCGAACCTTGCCAGAAGAAACACGAAGATCTTCTTGAGTTTGGGTGAGCATTTGAACAAGCTACCCGGCGTAAACTTCCTTTTGGTTCAACAGTTCTTTCAAACCTCTAATCTCTTTAGTGGCTTTGGAAAGTTGCTCAGCAAATGAAGACTTAAGGAGGACTTTATCTTTGCCCACTTGACTGGAAGAGGCCTTTTCAACTGCCAACTTTTCTGCCATTATCTTCACTTGTTGCTCCAAGGTACACTTCTCCTCATCCAAAACTTCTTTCTCAAGCTCAAGGCCATCAAACTGTTCCTTCCAGTTATTCGTTTCAGTGCGATAGTCATTAATTAATTGCTCAGTATGGATGATCCTCTTCATCAGCTCCGTGCTAATTAAGTTGATCTACACAAGTAAAAGGAAAAGTAATTACCAAATACAGATGAAAGGAAAGTCACATGCAAAATAAAAAGCTAAGGCTTATACCTTTAAAGATGAAAGGGCAATTTCATTCATCCACGTTAAAGAGCTATGGTTTTCCAAAATGGACTTCTCAACTAGGCCAATCAATGGCTTGAACCATATATCAGCTTGGCCAGATTTCTTTAGAAGATTACCATCCTCAGGGATTTCGATGGTAACCTTTTTCATTACCCTACTGTTATTGGAAGAACAAACTTCAACATGAGAAGTTGCAATAGTAGGGGAAGTTGAGGGGGTCAAAACAGCCACGGGCGGAGCAGTAGTAGTAGAAACAGGTGCAGGGAACTGGAGATCAACTGGAACAAGTATTGGAAACGCGGAAAGAGGCGCTTCCTCAGAAACAAAGCCAAAATCTTCATTGTCAAAACCATGAGAAAAAAGTTGTTCTGTATAGCCACGGGATCTGGCATGCATCTCTTCATTGGAACTCATCAAAGTGAGACTTTCGGACTCGTGCATGGAAACTAAACTTGGAGGAGGAATGACTTCATCACCAGAAATAACACGTCTCCTAGCTCGAGACCTACGAACTAACGAGCCCTCATTTTGATCCTCTTCACCCTCGGAACTGGGTGCCTTATCAGCTTTTCTCTTTGACGAGGAACTCAAAATCATCTCTTGAGCCATAGACAGAGAAAGTCTTGAAGAAACAATAGATACAACGCTAACACCCCGAATCGGTAACCCTAGCGAAGAAAAAGTTAGAAAACTTTCAAGTGAACATGGAAGCAAGGTAGAAAATTAAAAGAAAGATACCATGAGTCTTCACTTTCCAACCAAACCTATTAGAAAGGTACTGCCAAGACCTTCCTTCCATAGTAGCAACAATCACAATTTTCCTACCCAACCGCGGAAGTCTGGAATCTCCTCAACAACTTCCATAGTTGCTGAAAAAGGAAAAACATATACAACCACGAGATTGTAAGTTCTTGTTTCTTCAATAGAAAAAGAAGAAGAAGGTTAAAAAACTTGCGTGCAAAGTTCTATTTTTCTGGAAAAGGCATGTTCTCATCACCCACTAAACCTTTTGTAGGATCAGCAAAGAAACAGGCATACCTGCTACAATCCTTGTCATCTTCACGGCTAACCAAAACCCTGTTACTCCTGGCCACGAGAGTAACTACCCCAGAACGAAAAAACTCGGGGATGTATAGATGAATCAAGTGATAAAAGGTAAAGGGTAAATAGACCAAATTCGACAAGTATCTTAAGAATGTGACAGCTCTCCATACAATAGACTAATCTATCTTAAGCAAACATTAAAGAAGCGGCAAAATTCTATAATGACAAGATAAATAGGTAGTCTGAAGCCTAATGTAAAGGGATATGTATAAACAAAGGAATAACCAGCTTTGTATGAGGTGATTCTTTTATTTGCATTAGGGACTAAAATTGGGAAATTGGATTTCCAATGGCATTCACTTCGCACAAGAGAAATCAAACCCTCAGTAGTTGGGAAGTGTAAACATCAGCACGATCATGAGAAGTCATAGATGTAACTTGATTTCTAATCGATTCTCGATCAGTAGAGAAGGAAAGTTCAGCGAGGACAATCTCATCAATAGTGGTTTCTCGAAGAGGTTCACCAGAATCCCTACTTCTAGCAGAAGATCTATGAGAAAAAGAAGACCTAGTTGTAGAGGATGAAGGAGTAGTAACA